ACCACCACCACTACTGCTGCTACTGCCATTACTGCTACCACGACAACTACCACTACCACTACTGCTACCCCTACCACTACCACTACCGCTACCACTACCACTACCAGTGCCACTACCGCTACCGCCACCACTACCACTATCACTACCACTAGCCCTAGCGCTAGAGCTAGCGCTACCGCTACCAGTACCGCTACCGCTACCGCCACCCACCACCACCACTACTACTATCACTCCTACTGCGACTGCTACTGCTACTAGCAACTGCTACTAATACCGCTGCTTGCTGCTGCTGCTCCTCCGACCCCTACTCCTGCTCCCACTCCTCCTACTACCACTGCTACTGATACTAATACCGGTACTGCTGCTGCTGCTGCTACTACTATTACTACTACTACGACTACGACGACGACGACGACCACAACTACTACTACTATTACTACTACTACTATTACTACTACTACTACTACTACTACTACTACTACTACTGCTATGCTGCTGCTACTGCTGCTGCTGCTGCTGCTGCTGCTGCTGCTACCGCCACCGCTACCGCCACCGCTGCCGCTACTGCTACTGCTGCTACTGCTGCTGGTGCTAGTGCCGGTGCTGCTGCTACTGCTGCTACTGCTACTGCTACTGCTACTTCTACTGCTGCTGCTAATGCTACTTCTACTGCTACTGCCGCTGCTACTGCTTCTGCTGCTGCTGCTGCTGCTGCCGCAGGTACTGCTGCTATTACTGCATCTGCGACGACTACTACCACTACTACCACGACGACGACGACGACTAAACCCCCAGCTTAGGACACAGTCTCGATACATTTGTCAGCGCAAAACCCATCAAAATCCGCAACGATATAGACGCAACTGCCATATCCCCAAACCATAAGCCCCAGCCCTAAACTCCAAGACCCCCTCTAAACGTACAGCAACCCTTCTCGTAACGCCCTATAGTACCCTAGACCCTGGGCCTTAAACGCGAGAACTGCAGCTCAGGACACTTTCCTGGTCTCCAAGATCTTGAAGCCTTTACCGCTTCCCGCAGCAGCGGACGAGCCGAGATCCGCAGCCACCGCGGAGGCGGCGATCGGCTTTAACACTTTGATATCGTTTGGTTTTTCAGGGGCTTCATCGGGTTTTCTAGATGGATGTTGTCTCTAAGTTATAGCTGCAAGTATAAGTAGGTTACCTCGAGTTAGGCACTAATACTCCCTGTAACCTGCCTTGCCTATTGAGTCTCCTAAGCCCTAAAGCAAGCTTTTTCCTTATACAACTTCAAGCAGGGTTTCGTCAACGTGTTCATCCAATTGTCTGTAGGCTTTGACAAGGTGAGTACAGGGACATATCGGGGTTTCCGACAATAGGGGGCCCTAATATAGTACCCTAAATAGTAGGATCCTGATTATAAGGACCCCAGAATAAGGTACCCTGATTTTCGGAAAATCCCATATAAGGGGCCTCAGTGATGGGAAGAGGCTTGGAGGTTTTAGGTGTCATGTTATTGTTGTCGCCATCGTTAGGCTTTGGGGTTTTTGGAAGCTTTTAAGGCTCAGCTTGATGGTTTGCGGAGGTAAAGCCTCGGGCGAGAATTCAATCTCAACCTAAATGCACCCGTAGGTCCAACTTCTGAAGCCCGACCCTTAAGCGCAAAACTGCAAACCCTAAACCCTACCCTAAAGCCTTTGCCCTAAACCCTGAACCTGAACCGCAACCCTAAACAGCAAACCCTAAACTGTAAACCCTACTGTAAACCCTAGGCATTCCCAGGCAGTCTACGAGGCATTGGCGGAGTTTCCAAAGGACCCCGATGGCCTCTGCAACGACGATGCAGACATCATCAGCTTAGCCAGGACCCTGCCGGCGAATCCAGAGTGATGTGTTCCGATAGAGAAAGGTACAAAAAGACGTAGAGTAAGCAAAAGATCAAGCCTCCTGTTCGGGGCATGCCAAATATGTGTCAGCAAGACAGAGAGGAGAGGGGAGAGGAGAGGAGAGGAAGGGTGAGCGAGAGACTCACAGAGAGACAGGAGATTGAGAGAGCGAGACGGAGACAAGGAGAGAGAGCGAGAGTGAGGGACAGAGAGCTCTGATGGTTATATGAGCGTCTCAGAAAACTAGCCCCAAATACAGACCCAGTCTAGTAGGATCTTCATTCTAAGCACGCCGAAATCGGATTCCTCATCTAGAGAAGCCTCCCTCGATCAACGCGATAGATCTTTCGCCATCCAAACATACAACTGTGCAGCAATACAGTAAGCCCCAACAAAGAACAATCATTCCCTGGTAAACCCATAAGTTGGTCTGATCCCTAAACCCTCAACGATGAACCCTAAACCCGAAGCCCCTAAAGTTTTCATGGCAACCCTCATGGCAAGCCTGATGGTATTGTCATAGTATCCGCTTATAGTAGCCCTTCAAGGGACCCTTACCCTAAACCCTAAACCCCCAAAACACATCCTAAACCCTAAACCCTAAACCCTCGACCCTCAACCCTCAACCTTTAACCTAAACCCTAAACCCCAAAAGCACATGATTTAAAGGAGCCCTAGGAAGCACCGAATTGGGAGTTTCCGAAAATTAGGGGTACCTTATTTTGCGATCCTTATAATAAGGATCCTCCTATTTGGGTACTATATTGAGGTCCCTAAACCCTAAACCCTAAACCCTAAACCCTAAACCCTAAACCCTAAACCCTAAACCCTAAACCCTAAACCCTATTTTCGGAAACCCCCAATTGCTTCAGGACTCCACCCCTCGTCTTCTGGGTCTTCGGAGAGTGTGATGTCTCAGGACGACGGTGGGGGAAGGTCCAGTGTGGGGGTTTAGGGTTTATAGGGTTTAGGGTTTAGGGTTTAGGGTTTAGGGTTTAGGGTTCAGGGTTTAGGGTTTAGGGTTTAGGGTCTAGGGCTTCAGAATTCGAACTAGGGTCGAGGGTTTAGGGCTTAGGGCTTCAGAATTTGAATAGCGGGGGTTGATGCAAGGTTCTGCAAAGGTTCTAGGCAACAAGGGTGGGGGTGGCGGTGGCATCACTTATTATTAAGGTGAATAGTTAGAGTCTAAGGTCGGCGGTTTAGGGTTTAGGGTTTAAGATTTTCGGGTTTAAGGTCTTTGGGTCTAGGTTCGAAGTTAAGGGGAACTGTCGACATGCCAGCGCCTTCACCATCGCGCCGAAAGCTCAACATATCCACCTCCGAGACTTCAAACAAAGCCTTACAGGTCCCATCTAACCACCTACAAATGGGTACTTCTCTGAATGAGGGTCCCTTCCGGGGGATTTGTTGTAAGGGTGCCGTACTATATTGGGGACCTAACAAGGGGCTCTAATCTAGAGAACCACCCAAGTACAACCGACGTTCCCACAAGACCCTGTGGCAACAGATGCAAAGCCAAGTCCCAAATCCTACAAATCCCAACAACCAAGACCTGTAACCCTCGCAAGTGCCCTGAGCCTTGAACATACTAAACCCTGAACCCTAAACCCAAAACCCTGAACCCTGGACCCTAAACCCTGAACCCGAAACCCTAAGCCCTAAACCCTGAACCCGAAACCCTAAAATCTTTGGCTCAAGCGCCGACAGCAGGGTGAAGGTGGGGTTGTTCCATTGTTTCGTGCCCTTCCCCCGCGCGTAAGGCGTTGTAACGACGGCTATGGCTTCAGATGATCAGGCAGCCGAGATGTGTTCTGCCACGTCTCCAAGTTGAGAGGTTGCAATGTTTTGGGCAAGGGGGACAAAGTCGGCTTTGATGCGAAGTACGACGATCGCAGGGTGCGAGCCATGAACATGTCCCTGCGCCACAAAGGCTCGAACCGAATCCGAACGCGGTGCTGCTGGGCCGGCTGGCTCCTGGCGACGCTGGTGGTGCCGGGCCACTCCCATCACCTGAGTTATGGGCAAAGCTGTCCGGGCATGAAGCCCCCACTACGTCGCGCCACCCGGCAGGCCCGGTCGCCGCGAAGCCCGGACCCTGCTGATGCGCAATTCCGCGCACCCTCGCACGCTGCGGCAGAGAGCAAAGATCTGGGTGAAGTTGAGCATCGGGAAGCAGAGCCTTCGATGCGGAATCTGCGCGTCAAGTGCTGTTCACCGGTCACCGAGTTGCACCGCTTGGAAGGTTGTCGGGCCAGCCAAGACACAGCGCCGATGCGCGAAATCCAGGCATCCATATTGGCCATCGCGCTACAGCTTGGGCAAGGTGTCCCAACTCAAGCAGAATTCCAGGTGCCCATGCAGCCCGCCGCTGCGTCCCTCCCAAAGTCATTGGGGCTTGGACGAGGAACTAGACGCGAACGTTTGAAATGTGAAGGTCTTCCAAAGTGTACAGGAATCGGTGGACCTCAGTCCGAAACCAAAAGGCGGAACGTGATGACAGGGCAGGCCGCTCGCGCGGGGAGGGTGAAGCTCGATCGTCGGCATCTACGAGAGCGCCTCCGCTGCCAGCATCGCCACCGCCAACGCCGCAGCTGCTTGCCTTGCCTACAGTGGTGCTGGAAGACACTCGGGATGTTGCCGGCATGGCTGAGCCGGGCATTCATTGGTGCCTTGAGTGGTGGCAGCAGGTGGAGGTCTTTCTTCCCCTACATGCAGGGCGGCGGGTCGAGCAGTTCCCAACGAAGAGCCCATGCGTGTCATCTCCATGCGCCCGGTGCCGAATGTGACCCCGAGCCCGACCAGTGAATGGATCGATGATGCTCCGGACGATGACCTACCTCGTGGCTAATCCCCCAACCAGTACATGGACCACATGGACCGCATTACCGAGCTTGGCCGTGAAGTGGAGGAGAAGGCGGAGGCAGAAGTGGAAACTCGGAGTGAACGTGATGCGCAGTTGGCGCAGCAGCTTCAGCACGAAGTCGACGAGGAGGAGGGGATGGCCAGGGAGGAAACCACCTTGGAGCGTTGGCGAACCATGAGGGCGAGGGAGTGGGATGATTGGACCATGTGGGAGGCTCTCACCTATGGCATTCGTATGCCGAGAAAACGTCGGGTCATGGTCGTGGAGCTTAGCAGTGGTTCGGAAGATGCGCCTCGCCTCTCCAAGTCTCTTCGAGTTCCCATGGACGATGAAAGAGATACTACAGTGTCGCTGAAGGTGACCCTGGTGAGGGAGGTGAGGCAGGAGGACATCCCGACTCCGGTGCTGCCTCCGGTGATCCTTGGTGCAGAACCAGATGCGCCGATGGCTCATCTTTCGAGCGAGGCGTCTACGGTCCTGGTGCCTGGGACTGTAGCGTTTCCTGTTGTACCTGGCCCGTCTATTGACATACCGGTGAATGAAGGGGTGGTTGACCTGCCGGAGGACATGGGGATGGCTGTTGTGGATGACCTTTACAACCAGTGGGTGAATGGTCAGCTGCAAGCGGATGACATCATTGTTCGGTATGGGTCTAACGTTTTGGAGCTGATTGAGAATCAGCACCTCCTCATGCTGGCCCTACAGATACTCTCGCCTTGCTGGCATTGCTGGGGTATGGACCTGTGACGTCGGTGGAAGCAACGAAGGAGAATCAGGACTCACATGAGGGCTACGAGGACGGTGGCGAGTGACGGTAAACGGTTTTTTGGAGGTGGCCGCAAGTGCTGCTTCATCTCCTGGCTTGAAGGCCTTGTTTGCCCGTTAACGGTACCGGATGCGGACAGCAAAAGAAAAGTCAAACAAAAAAGAAACTTAAACCCTAAACCCTGAACCCAGAACTGCCAGAAACCAGAAAATCCAGAGCCCCAAAGCCCGATAACCATTATAAGTGGGTTTGTCCCTGAGAATACTAACCCCCAAGCCCCAAGCGCACTACCCTAAACCCGAAGCCCTGTGCCCCAAACATCGCAAACCCTAAACCTGACCTTAAACCCTAAACCCTAAACCTTAAACCCTGAACCCTAAACCTTAAACCCTACCCTAAAGTCCTACGTGCACAAGGAGAGTACAAGACTGAAGTCTGCCGGCGGCTGGCGCAGAAGCTGCGGCTGCAGTGGCTTCAGCCCACCTACGCAGCTCCGAGCTGTTTAGGGTTTAGAGTTGTAGGTTAGGGGGGTTGAGGGTTTAGGGTGGTTAAAGAGTTTATAGTTTTAGGTCAGGGGGTCTAGGGATGGGGAGTTTGGGGCTTGGGGTTGTTCAGGGGTTTGGGGGATTGAGGGTTTGGGATTTGAGGGGTTCAGGGTCTCAGCTACTATATGTTTGATGTCGGCAATATCCGGATTATGATCGCAATGCGAAGCGCAGAAATTTTTGATTGCTGCCGGAAGGGCAGCAGGCGGAGGTCGGACGTACGTCCAGGAACACTCCGAAGAAACCGTCGGCGAATGAAGCCGCGCAGGCCTGGCAGCAATGCATCATGAGCCAGAGTTGAGGCAGCGAGCTCGCAAGCAGCGCCGAGGGCGCAGCACCATGTTGAACTCTCAGGATCTCCATGCGCAGTGCGATCGCTGTGATCGCCGGCGGCGAGTCAACAAGGGCACGCATGTGGCGACTGTTGTCGTCGCGGGCAGGGATTTTGTCGCATCGACGCTGTGACGAGACTGCGCCTTACAGAGAATCAACAGCTGTGGTTACCAACGCGATGCAGATGCTTGTCATGGCTGTTTCGCCCATTCTTGTCGCCTATGTGCCCGTGGTATCTTATGATAAAGTTGACACCGTTAGATGGTGTTTTGAGGCTGTGAGGTTTCGGGCCTTAAAATCAGGGAATCTCTTACCACTCGAATTGTATGGCCTGCCAAACACTGCGCTGAGAAGGCCGGTTGATAAGAGGTGGGAGGTTTAAACTCTCCAGATAGACCATAGACAGTGTGGGGGTTTCCGAAAATAGGGGACCCTAATATAGTACCCTAAATAGTAGGATCCTTATTCTAAGGACCCCAGAATAAGGTACCCCTTATTTTCTGAAACTCCCATGTAGACCATGGACGTCATCATGTTTGGGGCCATGGATGCTCTCTTCTCAGAGCGGATTAGACCACGGACCTCATCATGGTTGAGTCTCTTCCCCCGCTCCATATTCAGGGTTTAGGGTTTAGGGTTTAGGGTGTAGGGTTTACAGGGTGATGCTAGGGATCCGTACATAGGGGCCCTTAGCGAAGAGGTTACAACCCCCAAACCCCAGCAAGCCTTCATAAAGCCGCCGTAAAAGACATTTTTTGGTTCCTTCAGAACAGGAGAGTTTAGGTTGAGCGGCAGAGCCCGCTACGAAGCCAAGTCTATACAGTCCCATAAACGCCATATACAACCCCTATGAACCCTTTCAAAAGCATCTATAGAAGGAATATTAAACAATTTTTCAGTACAAACCTGTATAAAACTCACCCTAAAACCCTAAACCCTGAGCCCTACAACCCCCCGTTTGGCAAAAGCCCTCCCGAGGTGTTAGAGCTGGCGGTCCGCACGCCGCCAGGCCTTGGCTGCGTCAGGGTGCAGGTGTAGCTATTCTAAGGTTAGAAGTATCTAAACCCTAAACCCTAAACCTTAAACCCTAAACCCTAAACCCCTAAACCCTAAACCCTAAACCCTAAACCCTAAACCCTAACCCTAAACCCTAAACCCTAAACTCAACCCCAAGCCCGAT